CCCCCCACCCATCCTGAGCACCCCCCCGGGGTCCCTGACCCCCCCACCCATCCTGAGCACCCCAAGGGGGTCCCTGACCCCCCCCACCCATCCTGAGCACCCCAAGGGGTCCCTGACCCCCCATCCTGAGCACCCCAAGGGGGTCCCAACCAGCCGGGCCCCACAGTGACCCCACACGGGGTCACCCCGAAGGGAGCCCCGATCCCCTGGGGGCACCCAGGGGTGACACAGGCAGGGACGGGGACACACAGGGACACACGGGGACACACCCAGGGGTGACACAGACAGGGACACAGGGGGACAGTGACACACCCGGGGACAGGGACACACCCGGGGACAGGGACACACACAGATTCAGGGACACACAGGGACACACCCAGGGGTGACACAGACAGGGACACAGGGGGACAGTGACACACCCGGGGACAGGGACACACCCGGGGACAATGACACACCCAGGGACAATGACGCACCCGGGGACAGTGACACACCCAGGGACAGTGACACGCACAGGGACAATGACACACCCAGGGACAGGGACACACCCAGGGACAGTGACACGCACAGGGACAGTGACACACCCAGGGACAATGACACACCCAGGGACAGGGACACACCCAGGGACAGTGACACGCACAGGGACAGTGACACACCCAGGGACAGGGACACACACAGATTCAGGGACTACACAGGGACACACCCGGGGACAATGACACACCCAGGGACAATGACACACCCAGGGACAGGGACACACACAGGGACAGGACACGCACAGGGACAATGACACGCACAGATTCAGGGACTACACAGGGACACACCCAGGGACAGTGACACGCACAGGGACACAGGGACACACACAGGGACACAAGGACAGCCATGTCCAAGGTGTGACACACACACAGGGACAGGGACAGGGACACACACAGTGACACACAGGGACACACACAGTGACACGCACAGGGACAGGGACACACCCGGGGACAGGGACACGGACAGTGACACACACAGGGATGCACCGAGGGACAGGGACACGCACAGGGACACAGGGACAGCCATGTCCAAGGTGTGACACACACACAGGGACAGGGACAGGGACAGGGACACACACAGTGACAGACAGAGACAGGGACACACAGGGACACAGAGGGACACACACAGGGACACACACATGGACACACAGAGACAGCGACACACACGGAAACACAGGGACAGCCATGTCCAGGGTGTGACACACACACAGGGACAGGGACGCAAACAGTGACACAGAGGGACGCAAACAGTGACACACCCAGGGACACACACAGACAGGGACAGGGACAGGGACAGGGACAGGGACAGGGACAGGGACAGGGACAGGGACAGGGACAGGGACAGGGACAGGGACA